AAGTACCTAAATACATCGCATGGCGAGGGACAGTCTCTGCAACAGATGGTGCTAGCAGAACTGGAAAGCGATATGCAAAAGATTGCCTCATACAAAACCCAACTCAGCATGGATTAAAGACCTAAATGTGAATCCCAGAATAATAAAGGCCATCAATGAAAAAATAGGGACAAATGTGAGGGCTCTAATACAGGGCATATACAGACTACCAAAGATTTTGAAAATTACACAAACAAAAGTAGACAAAATAGATAATTGTGACTTACTAAAAATTAAAAACTTATGTACATCAAGACTTCATCAAAGAGTAAAAAGGGAGCCCACAGAATGGGAAAAAATCTTTTGCGACTATACATCAGACAAGGGACTAATTTCCAAAATCTACAGGAACCTACAACACCTCTACAAGAAAAGCACACATAACTCAATTAAAAAATTGGTACAGGACATGAACAGACACATACTTATTACTTCTTGGAATGTTTTGATTATTGGCATTATATTTGGTCCACATGAGTATAAATGAAAATTTGTATCACAGTTCATATAAAACCCCAGAGGATTTTAAGACCTCACATCTTTGATATAGAAAGATGCTATTCCAAAATTCTAAATTGTTCCCTTTTAGCCCAGTAAATCAACAGCACATGCTGTCTGGAGAGGTTTTAGAAGTATAAATACCTGGTTCCTCACTGAGAATTGTAACATATGTGGATAATATGCAGCGTATGCAAACGTGCAAATATGTGTGCCTAAAGACCACACCTGTGTAGGCATGTGCATTCACTAGTAATGTTAGAAACAATTTGATAATAAATAAAGACGGGGAGGGCAAAGCAGCATTTCACAGAATCCCTTTGAATCAACATAGAAATATGTTTGGTACATAGAATTTGTAAATCACACAGTAATAATAATCGTAAGAAGTAATCAATTGGTACAAAATTGATAAAGTCTGATGAAAAAATAGAATATTTGCAATCTCAAAGTGTTCTCCTGCGAGAAACTTACTAATTAAAAGATGAAAGTCATGAACTGGATAACAGCATAGAATGGAAGGAAATGTACTAAATACAAAATGAAAGTTTGAAACCAAACACGATTGGTATATTTAACTAACTGTACACAGGATATATTCCATCAATGAAAGTCTCAAAAAACAGGAAAACCCGCATTTGATCAAGGTCGGTCATTGTCCTTACTATAATGGCCAAAGTGTTAGAAAGGCAGAATGACATGTGTACACAGGCAGTGAGCACAGCCGATGAGGACATGTCTCTGCAGTTACAATGACACTGTTGTGTGTCACCGAGAAATTCTGCCCTCATTCAGAGACATGTTTCATGGTAGTCACATGATTGCAGTGTGGATGGAACATCCCATTTCTGACACAACCTCTCAACTCTGAGTTCTGATATGTGACAGGAACTATCGGCTTTCCCATGTTCTTCACACTCACAGCGCCACTCTCTTCTGTGAGCAGCACGTTTAGTGTAGTGAGGAGGGTCTAAATCCTTTGCTCCATTCCTTACACTGATAAGGACTTTCTCCTTTGTGAAATCATGGGAAGTTTTGTTGAATCATGGGAAATTCTCATACATTTCTTACATTAATTTGCACATTCCTCTCCACTGTGTGACCTTAAATAGGATGTGAGGTTTGACTGACAAACAAACGCTTTGCCAAGATGGCTACATTCATAAGACCTCAACTAACTAACTGTGAGTTCACCTGTTTAGTGAGGGATGGACAACTAGGGAGTGGTTTCTCCATATTCCTTACACTCATAGTGACTTTCTCCATTGTGAGATCTCATATGTACAGTCAGGGATGAGGCATCAACAAAAGCTTTTACACACTGTTGATATTCAGATGGCCTCTTCCCAGTGTGGATTCTTCTGTGTAGTGAGGATTGAGACCTGCCTGAAGAGTTTCCCACCTGTGTACACTCATAAGGCAGGTCTCCACCGGTGAGTTTGCGTATATGTAATGAGGTATGAGGAATCCCTAAAGGCGTTCCCACATTCCTTACATTTATGGGGCTTCTCCCTACTGAGAGTTTGCATATATTTATGGAGGGATGAAAAATTACCAAAGGCTTATCCACATGACATTTATATGCCCTTTCTTGACTATGGATTCTTGTACGGGTAAAGATGCTTGAGATTTGAATGAAGACTTTCCCACACTCCTTACATTCATAGCGCCTGTCTCTATGATGGATTCCTCTATGTCTAATGAGGTCTGAGGCCTGCCTGAAGATTTTCCCATACTCTCTGCAATCATAAGTCAGGACTCAACTGTGAGTTTTCATATGTCTACGATGGTATGAGGAATCCCTAAAGGTTTTCCCACACTCCTTACATTCATAGGGCCTCTCTCCACTGTGAATTCTTCTATGTGTTCTGAGACCTGACGCTAGTCTAAAGGATTTCCCACACTCCTTACATTTATAAGGCCTCTCACCAGTATGAATTCTTCTATGTACAGTGAGGCCTGTGGTGTCTCTAAAGGATTTCCCACACTGCTCACATTCATAGGGCTTCTCTCCACTATGGATCCTTCTATGTCTAGTGAGATTACAGACCTGCCTGAAGACTTTCCCACACTCCTTACATTCATAGGGCCTCTCTCCACTGTGAATTCTTCTATGTGTCATTAGAGCTGAGGCTAGTCTAAAGGCTTTCCCACACTCTTTACATTTATAAGGCCTCTCACCAGTATGAATTCTTCTATGTACATTGAGGCCTGTGGTGTCTGTAAAGGATTTTCCACACTCCTTACATTCATAGGGCTTCTCTCCACTATGGATCCTTCTGTGTCTAGTGAGATAGGCGACCTGACTGAAGACTTTCCCACACTCCTTACATTCATAGGGCCTCTCTCCACTGTGAATTCTTCTATGTATACTGAGGGCTGAGGTTATTTTAAAGCCTTTTCCACACTGTTTACATTTATAGGGCCTCTCACCAGTATGAATTCTTCTATGTACAAGGAGGACTGAGGTTTTTGTAAAAGCTTTCCCACACTCCGTACATTCACAGGGTTTCACTCCACTATGCATTCTTCTATGTTTAGTGAGATAAGCGACCTGCTTGAAGACTTTCCCACAGTCCTTACATTTATAGCACATCTCTCCATTGTGACCTCGTAGATGTTTACTGAGGTATGAAGAAAACTTAAAGGTTTTCCCACACTCCTTACATCCATAGGGCCTCTCTCCACTGTGAGTTTGTACATGTACACTGAGAGCTGATTCCGACCTAAAGGCTTTTCCACACTCCTTACATTCATAAGGCCTCTCCCCACTGTGGATCATTCTATGGGAACTGAAGGCTGAGGTTGTTCTAAAGGATTTCCCACACTCCTTACATTGATAGGGCCTCTCCCCAGTGTGGAATCGCATATGTCGAGTGAGGTTTGAGCGCCACCTGAAGCCTTTCCCACATTCTTTACATTCATAAACTTTCTCTCTTCTGTGAACTTGTACATGTTGCATGAGTAATGACGCCTCACTAAAACCTTTCTCACATTTCTTACATTTATAAGGCTGATCTAATTTTTCATTTAAAATAAGAGATGAAGAACAATGACAGATTTTATACCTGTCTTTCAATTCACACTTCTGACCTCGCCCATCTTCTGAGGATGAGAACATTTCTCCACATTCATTAAATACACATTCTTTACCAGTGACTGTTGTGAAGGGCCTTTTAAGGGTTGAGAGAGAAATGAAATCTTTCACACAGACCTTACAGTTAAGGTTTGTTTTCCCTGTAAGTGGTGTCATGGGAGTAATTGTATGACAGGGACAACTGCAGGCGTCCCCACGTTCCTTACACGGACAGGTATCACATCTGGTGAGTGACCTGCTAGGATGGCTATGGGATGAGTCATCCATGAAGGCTTTTCCAGATGTGCAGCATTTCAAAGGGTTTCCTTCTGTGGGTTTTCCTTGGAGCACAGTCAGACCTGGTATGGGGCTGGAGATTTCCTCACACTGGCTGCCTTCTGAACTTTCACAGACGTTCTCTATTGTATGACTTCTGTGAATGACAGGTAGTGTGAACATCAAACAGATGAACTGCAGTACCAACTCCACGGCACACAACAATAACAATTCACAATAAGAAGTTACAAACCAAAAAAGGCATTATGGTGTTGGAGACAGGCTTGTTCCCTTTTTACAATTCCCGAACAGTGAGCACGCATGGCTTCTGTCCTCATTTGTCTCATGTTTCATCATTTAGCACAAACACAATTACTCTTCATGTTTTCCCCAAACATCACTATGATCAGAGCTTCACACCATTCTGCCATGATTCAGCAATTTGTGACATAAACAAGAGAAGGGTCCATACCGCATAGTAATCAAGTCTTTTGTAAGTAGCAATTTGATCTGATTAAGAAACTTTTGATGGTGTTAGGTTCAGATGGCAATCAGCTCCAGTGTGAATGTGTGTTGCTCCTCACAAGCCTGTCAACAACACAACCACCCACAGTGAGAAATCAGTAGGAATGTGGAGAGCAACAGCCATTCAGAACTTGGCAGGGGGCCACCATCTTTGAATGGCAGGCTGGGGAACACTTTAAAGTCAATGGGAGAAATTTCTGCTCGATGAAAGGCACCTATCACCCTACCTGGTCAGCTATCACTGAACACGACATTTAAAGCCCGAGTACAGAGCTGCCAACCTTAAGGCCAGCAGTTCGAAACTACCAGCCGCTCCGCGGGAGAAAGATGAGGTGTTCTGATCCCGTAGTAAAGACTTACAGCCTCGGAAACCCTGTACAGGGTCGCTATGGTTCGGATCCCACTCGACGGCACTTAACAACAACAACACAGATCTTTACGTACTGACAAAATGGCCTCAAATCTTTGAAGAAAAATGGAATCAAAGATATTGAGATTTTCCCAGGTACCATTTGACGTCCCCGAAAATAAGTGTATTTTAGTGTCATGAGACCTGAGGACTTTGACCTGAGACACTGTTTTTCGTTGTTTGAATGATACTCACCTCAAATGTCTGCCTTGGTTTTCATGGTGACCTTTACTGCCAGGTGACGCTGTGAATTCACATAACATAGAGGACCAGGTGTGATTCTTCGTGAATTGCACCGTTATCTGTTCACTGGATAACTCTTCTCCATCCTGACCATTCTGAGACACTGACCCAATAGTTCAAGTTGAGGTTCACAAGTTGAGGTTCACAATATGAAACAAATCATAGGATTAGTAAAAAAATAAAAGGGCTCCTGTAAACAAAGGAACACGCAGTTGCATGTCCTGTTTCAGCACCGTGGCAATGGTTAAAGAGCAGTTTTCTAGGAAATGCTTCTGTAAGGATTGAATCACGGTGACACATGGGTATAATGAGCCAAACAGAAACGTATCAGACACAACACACTCGTGTCACTAAACGAGGAAAAGGGTCTCTCAGACCACAGGTGTGAGAGGATGGCTAAAGTCAGACCAGAAAGCTCAGGTGTCTGTGAAGTTATATCTTCAGCAGAAAGGACATTTTCTAAGTGACCAACATCAACACCCCTCCATTCACAAACAGTCCTTTTAAAAATGCTTTGTGTCCTGACACAGTGGTCTCTAAGTGAGTCCTTTCTCTACTCTCCGGGATTGTTCCTTTACTTCTGTGGAAACGAAGCGGGCAGAGCTGACATGGATCATGGAGAAACGGACATCGTGAGGGACGACAGTAACGGGCAATGAGCATTTCCCTGACACTCAGGCAGTTCTTGGATCCTCATGGTATCAAGTGTGAGACAATTTTCAGCAAAACAATCATGTTCAACTAAATACATAAACACAATGAAGCTCTCAGAAAGGCACCACACATCTCTCAGTGCCTGAAACTGACCGCTGAATCCAATGTTTACACTTAACAACACTCACAGAGCCCCAGCTCTTTTGTTCAGAAGCTAAAAGAGCATTTACTCTAATACATACAACAGCTGGATGTTTATGGAGAAACCCGGGCATGTGACCTTCCTATGAGAAGGAACCACCTCTTTTATGGACCAATGTCTGTCTCCCCATTGCTCATCAAACATAAACCAGAAACATCAATGAGAAGAAGATTAATGTGCCTTTAAGGAATTTCAAAAAAGATGCCATTCATACCTATAGAAGCCAGGTTTCTGAAAGTTTCCATCATCACGTCTCTGTAGAGTTTCCTCTGAGCAGAATCCAGCAAATCCCACTCTTCGTGGGTGAAGACCACAGCCACATCTTCAATGACCACCGAGTCCTAGAACATCCCACACATTCCTGATCAGCAAGGCAGTGTGCACTCCAATAGATGCAATAACAAAAGGTAAGGCTAGATTCCTGCAACACGGAGAAGTCACAGGTATGTAATTCGAGGTTCTGTGTTCTACCCGAGGTGTGCTCTAGGTAACAGCCATCGGCCTGGTCCCTTCACCACATTCACTTCCCTAATGACAGTATCTCGTTTCAGAAACTCCACACAGCCTGAAACAAGCTGTCCTCAGTTTGACTGTGACCAACAGCCGTCTATTCCTCTCTCTCTATGGTCTAGAACAATTAGAAAGTACAGCAGAAATGAGAGAAATGTCCTTATTATCCATTGTTAACAAGCCATTTTATCTCCTTCCCTAGACCAAGATGACCCTCCACAAGCAGGAAAGAGGGGAGGCAGTAACAACTTGGAGACAGTGCAGAATGGCAGTGTTTCCTGTTCCCCTCACACCCAGGGAAGGACCAAGGACTCACACAGACAAAAACAAAATGCAACCCAGGGCCCTAAGTGGTCATATCTTCCTCAATTCCACAAGGTCCGTAAATAACCAGCCCATCTCCTGATACAAGAAGACGCTTTTAGAGAATATTTTTACACGTCAGCCACTTGTTCTTCCAACACTCAGCTGTTCTGTCATCTCTCTCTCATCCTAGAGACAGTCAAAGGTCCTAAAATCTACAAAGATGTCAGGGGAACCGGAAACATGACAACCTGGATCCCCACGAGCCTCAAATGCTCCCTTCATCACGCACAAATTCACACCCACCCACACAAACACAGTCCCATGCTATAAAAGGACACAGAGAACTGCCTACGACCTCTTCAAGGAAACAAACGTGTGCTTGTGTTTGCAGACCGTGAAAGAGTTACGACTCCCGTTCTGTAAAGAGTGCACAGTATGATAGACGTCATCACCGAGACCCAGGGACAGATGTAACCATTGGCAAACTGACAAATATTTGCTCATATAGAACTTTATCAACCACACAAAAATGAATCTTGTAAAGTTACATGCAGATGATGGACCCGTTCAGTTGCCCATGAAGCCAGGAAGCGGACTCACACACCAGCCCTCTAGAAACACCGCTCTAAATTCACTGAAATCTGGAAGTCATATAACCATGACCACCTGAATCCAGGTCATTGGATTCTCGGGTTTTCAGAGTGACCTGTTGAAAAGGGCACCAATCACTGGCTTTTTTCAGGTCCAGAGGATAGAAAAGGCTGTTACCCTACACTTTGGGTGTGAAAACGGAGCAACTTTAGGAAGACTCCTCTTCCAAATTTGTTCTTAAAGAAGTGGTTTGCTAACATGGCTGTCTTTCCTTTCCATATAAACTTTGTAATTATTTTTTCCATTTCTTTAAAGAATGTTGTTGGAATCTAGATTGGGATTGCATTATGTGTGTAAACAGATTGGGTAGTATTTACATTTTCACAATGTTAAGTCTTATCCAGGAACATGGTATATTCTTCCAGTTTTTTGTAAATCTCTTGATTTTTGGAGTAGTGTTTTGTAGTTTTCTTTAAATCGGTCCTCTGTTTCTCTGGTTACATTTATTCCGAAATATTTCACCCTATGGGCGGCTATTGCAAATAATGGAATTGTTTTCCTAATGTCCTTTTCAGTGCACTCATTATTGGTGGTGGTTCTGTGCCGTGGATCCGGTTCCGACTCACAGCGATCCTGTACAGGGCTTCCGAGGCTGTAAATCTTCACGGGAGCAGAAAGCCTCATCTTTCTCCCACGGAACAGCTAGTAGTTTCGAACCGTTGACCTTAAGGTTCGCAGCCTGATTTGTAGCCGCTACGCTACCAGAGCTCCTTGCAGTCTTCATTAGTATAGAGGAATTCAGCTGATTTCTGTTCATCTTGTATTCTGCCACTTTTTAAATCTTTCAAAACTCCTAGAACTCAAATTTGAGTTCTAATAGTTTTTTGTTGTTGAGTCCTTGGGATTTTCTATGTATAGGATC